GCACAAGTATGAAATCAAATAGTGAGGAAAATATCAGTAAAAATCCCCTAAGGGTTCAAACAGTTGGCACAAAGCCCAAATATGGCATTTAGCCCAAAACATGACAATATCAAACAATTAATTATCAAATACGCAGTAAAACAGTCATTCGGGATGGACTAAGTCATAATCCCCAACGGCGCACGACCCCACGCTCGTCATCTAGCGTGTGCGTCACCTCAACACAGTCGAATGTTGTGTAATCCAGGGTTTCATACCCTCAGGACAGCATTTAAAATCATTACTCACCTCAATCCGGCCCGAAATCTAGCTCGCAATGCCTTTGCCCTTCGAATCGATCTCCGGATGCTCCGAATTTACCAAAATCAGAACGTAACTATTAAATTATGCTAAAGGGACGAAGCCCACTCGAAAATAATCGAAAAACATTAAAATTTCCGAAATTACCAAAACCCGACCCCCGGGCCCATATCTCGGAATTCGATAAAATTCACATCATTAGATTCCTTATCTCCCCACGAGTTCGTACATGTAAAAAGTTCCAAAATCCGACCACAAATGGTCTTCCAAATACTCAACCAAAGGCCTAGGTTTCTAAGCCCTAGTTTCTCTAATTTTACCTTTAATTACAGCCCTAATCCATGCATTAATACCATAGAATCGAGTTTTTAGGTCCAAAATTCTTACCTCAATGAGTTCCCCTTGAATTCTCTCTTCAAACTCGCCCAAAGCTCTCAAATTCGTGTTAAAATGGTGGAAATTGGGTTCAAAGTCGCAGAACAGGACTATTAAACATTCTGCCCAGCTATTAAATTTACTTCACTGCGATCGCGGAAATAGCCTCGATATCGCGAAGCACAAATGGTGATTGCCCCCACTTAACCTTACGCGATCGCAGAAACACAGTCGCGATCGCGGATAACAAACATACCAAACAATGCGAACGCGGCCAACACTACGCGATCGCGTAGAGAATTAAAAGTCCTTCACCTCACGACTGCACCAAATCCTTCTTCGCGATCGCGACCTTAGCCACGCGGTCGCGATAGCCAACTCCACAGACCTTCGCGATCGCAGACACAAATTGGCGATCGCATAAGACAAATTTCCAGCTGCCCTCGACAGACCTACACGATCGCGAGCTCTCTACGCGATCGCAGAGAACAAAAGTCGGCAACAGAACAGAAGCCAAATCTGCAATTTCTCAAACATGCAATTGGTCCGTTTAACCACCCGAAACTCACCTGAGGCCCTCAGGAACTCAACCAAACATGACAACCTATCCCATAATATCATTCAAACTTGTTCCAACCTTCGGAACACTCAAAATCAGATTAAAACACCAAATTTGCATCGGATTCAAGCCTAAGAATTCCAAAATCTTCTAAATTACGCTTTTGATAAAAAATCCGACCAAACCACGTCCAAATGACCTGAAATTTTGCACACACATCCCAAATGAAATAACGGAGCTACTGCAACTTCCGGAATTCCATTTCGACCCCTATATCAAAATCTCACCTATCAACCGGAAAACGCCAAAAACTCAATTCCGCCAATTCAAGCCTAAATCTACTCCGGACCTCCAAAACACATTCGGATCACGCTCCTAAGTCCCAAATCATCTCCCGAAGCTATCCGAACCATCGGAACTCATATCCGAGTCCTCTAACACATAAGTCAACATCCGGTTGACTTTTCGAACTTAAGCTTTCTTAAAAGAGACTAAGTATCTCAAACCTTCTCAAAATCTTTCCGAACCCAGGCCAACCAACCCGGTCACCTATAGAACCAATAAACAAAGCAAATAGAAGCAGAAATGAGGGGAAACAGAACGGTAACTCATGAGACGACCGGCCGGGTCGTCACATATGCATAGGCCAAACATGTTAGGTAATTTTTATTTCAACCCAAACATGTTAGGTAATTTTTATCTCAACTGTGGTGATGACGATGCCCAACATGTTAGGTAGTTTTTTATTTCAACTGTCGTTTTGAACTGTGCTCTATATCAGAGGCGGATCTAGGATTTCAAGTGCACCATTCATCCTTCTTGAAGCATAAGTACCAATAATTAATATTATACAAATTTTAGAAAATATATACATAAAATATTTTATTTTACGAAGAGACCATGGGTTCACATGCCCCATAATCTCCCATATAAATCCACCCCTGCTCCATATTAATGTGGAAGGTTGTCTTTCTTTACAAAATATGTCCAAAAAGAGAAATAAGAATAAATGATGCCTTTTGAACAACCAATCTAAAATTTCAGTTCTCACAACTAGAAGTTCAGTCAAAATCGACCGCGGCAAACCGACCGACTTCTGTTGGTATTTTAAAATATTTTATTTTTTAATTTTTTTTAGGAAACCGACCAACTTCGGTCGTCTGTTTTGGAGCAAAAATGCGAAAAACTATTGTGGCGTCCCGCGAAATTTATTTTTTAAGAAACCGACCAACTTTGGTTGTTTTTTTATATAAAATAAATTAAAATTAATATTCAAAAAACCGACCGAATTCGTTTGGTTATTTAAGTCGGTCATTTTAAAAAACCGACCGAAATCGGTCGGTCGGTTAATTTCGTGTGAAAATACAATTAAAAAATACAAACAAAATAAAAGATAGTCTTAAACCAAAATGTACTAATAGTCTAGTGGTAGAATAGTAGGCTGCCACAGTACAGACCCCGGTTCGATTCTTAGACGGCGCATTTTGTAATTGCATAATTAAGATACCGACCGACTTCGGTGGGTTTTTTGGGCAAATTTTTTCTTTGTTTGGTCGCTTGTGAAATACATTTTCAACAAAAAACCCAAAGTATCACTAAGTGCATCTTTCTTATAGCCCGTTTGGCCAAGCTGCAAAAATCAGATTATTTTGAGAAGTGCTTTTCTCAAAAGTACTTTTGGTAAGAAGCAGTTTGTGTTTGGCTAATTAGTTTGAAAAACACTTCTGAGCAGCAATTAGTGTTTGGCCAAGCTTTAAAAAACTGCTTCTAAGTGTATTTTTCTCAAAAGTGCTTCTCAAAAAAGTACTTTTGGAGAGAAGCTACTTTTTCTGCTTCTCCCAAACTGCTTCTGCTTCTCCTCAAAAGCACTTTTTTTCCTTCCAAAAGCTTGGCCAAACACCTCATTAGCCTTCTTTCTTGTTGCAAGATTGTCCCATTATTTGAATTTTGCAGACTATATCAACCCTGAAAACAAGTAACAGATTGATCATACATGGCCTGAAAAGAAGATCACGTTTTTTGACCATTTCAAAAGCTCTTCCCTTTGTCCCTCTCTACACAATGCATACTGAAAGAAGTAAGACAAATCATAAACATTTTCCTATTCTTTCTGCTGGTCCAAGTCCTAAAGTCTAACTAAGACTTAACTTTAAATTCAGCTTAAACCAAAGCTGTTTGAAAATTACTTAAACAAGCTCGAGTAATGAAAGAATCAAGGCAAATTCTGCTCACTGATGAGCTACAATGTAAAGAATTTTGTAAAGAGCTTTTCCAAATAAACACTTGAAGTGCACAGCTCCACCTTTGCCATTATATAGTACAAGTACTTATTGAATCGATAGGTTAAACTTTTAGAAATGGAGCCTCATAGTTTAATTCTGGATAAAAAGTTGACTTTATTCCTTTCTTTCTCTTAGCAAGTGAATGGGGCATTATATTATATTATGAGATAAAAAAGAAAGGTAAAACAAGGAGGGCAAGCAGAAACCTCATACATATTATTCATCAGGTATCATCATGTCATAAACGAATCAAGATAACAAACCAAAAGTATATATGTAAAGTAGGAAAATAGATCTTAATGATTCAAATTTCAAATTAAGAATGTCTTATCCCCGAGGTGGCAGCCATTCTCAAGTGCTAAATTCTGATTGATTATGAAAAGATAGAGCCACTGAAGTATCAAACACATTCCAGATATATCGCTGGTCTAAGTCCTATCTTTCATCCCGAATATAATCTACCTTCACGTGGCATGTAGGAATTCAAAACTTCAATAGTGTCAGTAGTATCGCCTTTGATAAAATCCAAGAAACCTTAGAGTTTGCTTTATCTTTGAGGGGAATGTAATAAAGTTTGTGAATACTAGATGAATTAACAGGGGAACTTTGACATTAATTCTCATCAGAATGTTCAATTATTATTCTCAATGTATGTGTTTTCTGATCCCACTTTCTTCAAGATTACTGACAGCAAATAGTCCATATTGCTCTCTTTTATTATCTTCCAAGCCACTAGTTTCTTGTGTTTTCACCCAATTACTCGTTAATTCTTTTTTTACGGGATTCTTACTTCTCTCCCAATACAAAATATGCGCCCTCATGCTTATACAAAGTAGCTCGAGTTTTACCAAAAAACTTCACTCAATCAGAACTCCAATGAACCCTAGATTTTTCAGCAAACCTACCCCCCCCCCCCCCAACCCAAAAAAAAATCTCGATCATAAACAAAATAAGATTGAGCAATAGAGGTTTATTTGGGAAAATCAAGATTACGTCGGAGCTTAATAGAGCAAATAGCTACTGAGTATCCATCATCGGAAGAGAGGAGAATTGATGGAAATGATTTTACCCTACCTCTTTTTTTTTCAACCGGGTGAATATTTACCCCTCTAATAATATTTGATTATTATTTAAAATAAATAAATAAGTCAATTTTTAGATTAAGCTAATTAATTATCTCACACGTAAATTGCCACATGGAAATTGTTTTTGATAATTTGGAGCACTAACACACACATTATCATAAATACAACGAGGGTATTTCACTATAAAGGAAAATATAGTTTAAGGGTCTTGAGGACAACTATCATAGAAAACTTACAAAAATGTGATAGTTTAGGGGAGTTTTAGGGTATTAAAACTTGTTTAAATAATTTTCCATGAAATGAAACACTTCAACCGAAAGCAATATCTTGCATCATACCATCATAAGAAAGTAGATAAAGCACCAAACGAACATTTGAATGAAACATTTCAATCCTAAATCAAATATTCTTTTACAAATAATGGGCTTGCCATGGTAGTCTTTCCACAAATTAAAGAAAACTAAATAGTAATCAGCAGCTACAGTTAGCAACAAATTATGACTAAATCACCACTCAGACGGACTAGGCAGAGGTTCAATATGATCAAACATATCCAAAGGAAAATCATCAATGAAGCTATCCGGAGTAAGTGGCTTGTCAATCTCTCTCATCACAATATTGTCACAACATGATCTCTCTACAAATGGGACTTGCAAATTATCTAATTCAGAACCATTGAACTGTCCAAACACATCAATGAAGTTAGGCATGTTGAATTCTTGATTTTCCAAAGGCAGAGCAAAGTCAGTTTGAATATGTGATGATTCTATTCCAAGTTTCTCGTCATTTGGAGTGAAATCAAGTTGAAGCAGGTTTGATTCAAAAGCAATGGAATTTGGATTCACTAGCTCTGCCAATGGGACCATGTTGATCATGTTATGAGAGTTATCAATATAGGAAGATGAACATGATTGTGACTTGGATAAAGATTCTTCTTGATCTGTTGATGAGCTGAATTTTGGTGCCTGAAAATTCAAAAAAAAGAAGTCATATATACACAAGCTGAGAGGAGAAGAGAAATTACAATTAAAGGTCATTAAACAATTATTCTTGGTAGAAGAAGTCTTTAAAATAGAGTTCAGCTTCTAAAAAAAATTCATTATCAGGTCACTTAAAAGACAATTACAAGTAACTGTATATAAAAAGTGAGATTTGTTGGAAAAACAAGTCAAGTAACATGTTAGTAAAATACATTAAAAATGTAAAAATTCTTTACGATGTCTATATATAGGGATTAAATCCATTACAATATACGTGTTTTTTAATCGTCTCCACAGTAACAACATTTTCTTTCTTTGGCATCTTAGTCGAGTAGACAATCATTGGGTACAAGGTCCATGAAGGTAAGAGAAGATTTATCACAAGGACACACATAGAAGGATGACATGCACAAATCGGAAAATGGTCAAAGTTACATGGAATAAAATTTATTTGCAGTTACCTCTATTGGAGGAGAATCTTGAAAAACATCATTTTGGCTATCGTTGTTATTGTTGTTGTTGTCGTTGTTCTGTGGCTTTGCAGGTTGTGGTGCTGATGCTCGCAAAATCCTAGCCAATCTCTTCTGTCGACTACTCCAAAAATTCTTAACATCATTGTCAGTTCTCCCCGGCAAATATGTTGCAATTCTTGCCCATTTGTTCCCATATTGTGCCTGAAGTTCAATCACTGTCGTCTCCTCCTCCGCTGAAAACTTCACTCCACTTTTCACCAAAAAGTGAAAGAAAAGAAAAAGACAAAGAATTTAGTGGGATAATTTCAACAAATATTAAAATTTGAAAAGTCATAATTTTCAAAGTGCAGTGTGTTTGCATTTAAATTTCTACAATTCCACTTCGTATATATTCAATAGGTATAAGAAACAACATAACGCATGCAAGCAGAATCATCAGCACTATCAAATGTTTTTGATTAACTATAATTCTTCAGAAAGGAACATATACTAGTTAAGAGAACAAGAACCACCAAGAATAGTCCTCAACATGTAACAAAATTCCATAAAAAAATTCTCAGATTTTGTAAATCATAGTAGGAAACAAAAAAGGAAAAAAAAGAAAAAGAAGAAATAAAACCAAAAACCTGTCTTAAACTGCATTAAATGCAATGTAACAAAGTAACGAACCCTATGTTCCCAGTAGCGGATTCAGAATTGGAGCGTGACGGATTTATAGATTAAAATTAATGTCGGTTCTGAAATATATATATTCAATATGTTAGACCCGTCACTGCCTATTACCACCTTAAAAAACACTTGACAAAGAAAAAACCAAAGGCTGATCAGTAATTATAAGATATTACTTCTTTAAGTTGGGTCGAAGTTTATTGACCCAACGAAGACGACAAGATTTTCCAGTACGTTGCAAAAGACCTTTGGATCGAATGGAGCTCCAATCTCTTGGACCATATTTCTTCACATGATTTAACAACACTTGATCTTCTTCTGCTTTCCATGGTCCTTTCTTTATTTCATCCTCATTATCTTCAAACTGATAACGACTACGATTGTACGAAGATGAAGTTGATGATCTTCTTCCTTCCATACTAAACTCCAAAAAATCCTTAACTGTGTTGATGTTTTATGTCTGCAAATTCTATGCTCATTTTATCTTTCCTTGAGATAGTGACGGTTAAAGGCGGTTATGGCCACTCTCTGCCCACGAATTACCCCACTTTCCCCCCATTTTCCTCTTGATTTCAAATAAGGTCAAAAAATTATTTTACACGTTCGAGTTTCAAAAGTTGTGGGAGACTTATGTCGAATTAAAAAATTAAGACTTTTTGCACTGAGTTTAAAAATAAACATTGTGTAACAGCGAAATTAACATTGTATAACAGTGATATACACTTTGTATAATATGTGTATAATATATAATTAATGTATATTCAGTGCATAATTTAGGAATATACACGAAATATGCACTGAACATATGATTACATAGTTTATACACTTGTGGCTAATGGAGGTGGCAAAGATAAAGAAGAAAATAATGGTATTTAAGAGTTGCAATTGGTACATTTGTTCTTCCTTCCTCCTTCTGATGATAATTATTTTCTAATTTTGTTGGTTGTTAATGGAGATTCTTTTTCAATAATTATTACCGAATGTAGATCGAAATATTTTTTGGGTAAAGAAGGACGAGATTATGATAATTTTCTGATGGATATTTGCATAAGATAAGGCAACATATAGAAAAAAGTTTTTATTTATTTATTTATTTTAGTTGATAGAAAGGGGCATCAGCCGACTGGCTATTTTTTAATTTTACCATATTATACAAAAGTTTGATAAATAATTTTTTTGTTGATTTCAAAGTTCTAAATATTAAAAAAATATTAACATGGAAGGTATTATAGTTTTAGTACACACTTCAAATAAGTAAATACTTTATTTAAGTAAAATATTAATTGATTTAAAATTCTAAATATTAGGATTTCCTACATAATTTAAATAAAGTGTTATTTAATAACTAAATTTGTAACTAATTTAAAAGTTTTAAATTTTAAATAAATAATTATATTATAGTTTCCAGTGATTAAGTTAAGAGTATTTTACCTTATTTTTCAACTACAATACTTTGTATATTTATATTCTTTATTATTTTTTCAGATAGTGTCCCGCATTATTTCAAAACTTGGGTTTTAAGTTTTGTACAGTACTTATGATTTTTAAATGGTTAGAATGGATCAAAGTAAAAAGTAGTTAAAAACATGAATTACACTTAATGGTATAAGTATATTTTCAAGTAAATAACTATATAAACTGATGTGTATATGATAGTTTAAATATTTTATTGGAGAAAAAGTGATCTTTGAAATGCTTTCTCAAATGCGTTCGTTGTTTTTATGTACGCAGAATAAATCAAATTGTTTGAATATAAGGTAAACTTAATTGATTTTGATGTCCTAAAGTAGGAATTTTTATGTAGTCCCTCAAATAAGGAAAATTTTAGGGAGTTTGACACAGTTACCCACAAAAACAAAACTATTTATCCTTGCCTACCTATTTGTTTTCTACCCATAAACTAATTATATTTCCTACCCATATTAGTTTTTGTGGGGAATTTTTTTTCTTTATTCTCCAATTCTTTTTTATTTCTATGTTTCTTTTCTTTTTTTCTTTTTTTTCTTTCTTTTCTCCTTTTCTTTTTTCTCTTTTTCTTCCTATTTTTTTATTTTTTCTCTTTTATTCATTTATTTTTGCCTAAATCGTATTATTGTTATTTTTACCACGACTTATTTCACACTCAAATTTGACTCCTTCTTTACTTTTTTTATTTTTATTTTTTTTCTTTATTTCTTGTTCCTTTTCTAATTTCACGTGATTGCCATGCAAACCTTGATCTCCTTCCCTATAAATATCAGTACATACTCTACCATTAGCAGTAACACCAACCAGTGATGGAGTAAGAAAACATAATCTCCGGCCACTAAATCTCCATATATACTAGTTAGAATAGAAATAATAATAAAATATTGAAAAATACAATAAAAATGTAAGTAGCAAAAAAGACTTCTAGTACCATATGATACCAATATGGTATACATGTATACTAACAGAGTATATGATTGCTCTAGAATATTGCTACAACTATCTATGGCTATACTACTGTACCAAAACATTAAAGGATACAATAATAGTATGAGAAAATTACATGCTCGCATTGCAAGCTAAATATTCGCAAAGCAACTTGCTCATTCCATATACGAACATGGTATATAGTTGTATGGGTCGTTCCAATAATTGCCTATAATTATAAAAAACTATTACATAATCCATATCAGCACAAGAAAATTCCAGCACTGCAAATCACGTTCATATAAATAATTTTAGAATAGAATTCACTTAAAATGCAGTCAAGACAACCAAAAAAAAAAGTTCAAACTACCATATGATACCAATATGTTATATAACTATACCAACATGGTATACAGTTTTACTGGTTAATTCCCAGCAACTATATGACTATACTACTATTACATAACACACATGCATAAAGAGAAAAATAAAAAAATAGCGTACCACATATTAATATAATAAAGTATTTCAAGATATTGTACTATATTACTATTATTAAAAGAAAATAAAATATTGTACTAATAAATGCAGCTAATACAACCAAAAAATGATTCAACTAGCATATGATACCAATATAGTATATAGCTATACTAATAGGGTATATAGTTGGAATGAATTGTATACCAAAATGGTATATTTGTATACTATTTGAGTATACAATACAAATTCGTCTTCTTCTCTTGTTCAACTATATTTCAACCCAAACTTCTAAAATCTACTACAAAATCTCCACCAAATTGACTAAAACTTTATCTACAACCTCCAATCAACTTTCCAAACAAACCCATATAGGATCGGATCAAAACAATTAAAAACTCAAACAAACCAAGTTCTGTGTTTCAAGCTTCAAGCTCCTTCAATGGTGGAAATAAATTTTTGTACAATAAAATATTTGAAAATTAGCATTAATATCATAATCAAAGAACAATACCCGATAAACTCCAACAGCAAACATTTCAACACACATGAAAATTCAAACTTTAGTTATATAGTACATATTATTTTTTGTTTTACTTTTAGAAGATAAAATAAATTATGGAGTACAAATAAAAAACAACACTACCCACTGTTGAAAAAAACTAATTATTCTTTGGCTTCCTTTTAGGATTAACACTTTTGCTGCTTAGATTAAATATGTCCATCGCAAGGGAGAATTGAATGGACGGGTAATTAGTTGTAATAGAATAGGCATTTGTTGTAATTACTTTTAAAATAGGTAATTACGGGTAAATATTTTTGATTAGATAGGTATATAGGGTAGTTTTCCCTTTTTTTAATAAGTAAAGTTTCAGTTTGACTTCAAAGTACTAAATATTAGGAAAATAATTAAATATTTATTTTGTCTAGTGTGAACTCTATTTTAAAAAGGTAAAACAAGACTAACATTTAGATTTTCCATAAAATTATCTTTTTCGATTTTCCAGCAAGATTGGAATTCTATGTCGTTTGAAGTTGCTGAAAGTTTACCTTTATTAGGATACAATTAGGCCAAGAATAAATATATAAAAATAAAAAAAATGATAAGAAAAAGAGAGAGGTTATGTCCATGACCATGTTATTTGCTGAAAATTGATACTTAAAGCATGTTGAGCAACATCTGTGAGGCTGTTGAGTATGGAGAAGTTATAGAGATGGTTACTTGGTGAAATGACTGAACTGGCATAAAAATAGCTTCACATGTTTCTGAACAATGCATGATGCGAAAAATATTTAAAATCGATAAATGTTCTAAATATTAAAAAATATTAAGTAGTCTTACAAATAAGAAAAACTTTAATAAGTAAAATTTTAGTTGACTTCAAAATTCTAAATATTAGTAAAATAATTAAATGACTATTTTGTCTAGTGTGCACTCTATTTTAAAAGGGTAAAAAGGTGAACGACATTTTGCTAAGGGCTTTCGTGCTTTTAATATAGTACTAGTTTCTATCTACGTGCGTTGCACGTAATTTTCTGCGTTAATAAATAAAAAATTTATGTGATTAGAAAATAAATTTATAAATTCATATTAAATTAACAAAAAATATATTTCAATAATTGTATTACTGAGTGACAAAATTTTCAAATGAAAAGACGTTCTCTAAAGCATCAAAAACAACAATTAGGCAGTACTATTACTTGTATAAAAATATATCTAAACAACACTTTTTACACTAAGTACCTAAATATCATTAATCATTTATTGGCTTAACAAAAAGAGGAAAACCATTGTTTGAGAAAAATTATTCAATTACTCAACAATAGAAAGTGTCTTCTCTTCGCAGCCTCAATTTTTATTTTTAGAATCATCGCAAAAGTTTCTCAAATATCTGAATCTTACTCTAACTTATAAACTATTGAAAATCATTAAAGCGGTGAATACCATATGAAATAAAATCTTATCTAGACTAAATCTTTTTAACTTTAAAATAAGTACTTGTGATTTTCAAATTTATAAATGAGATTTTACAACCTACTTTTTTATGTTTAATTGCTGATGTCACTATATATTGATTTTTAATTCTAATACATAAGTTATCAATATTTTAAGTTACATACTATCAAGTCTGTATGGAGTTTCATACAAATGTATTATAAAAATACATTCCTAATTATTAATGTATTATAGTAATTTTGTAACTTTGAAATTGTCTTTCAATTCAATTTTGGTATCAAACACACTATAAGAAATTTCAGTTTACGAAAATTTAAACTTATAATCAATTCCTGTGAATAATTTAAAATTACTAAAATGTGGATGAGCATAAAAGTCACTTAAATTTCAATAAGTATCAATCACCAATGATATTACATATAGAATTGAAAAACTAAAATATAAAAATATCCTTGCAAGCAATCAGCCTAATCTTTATTCCTTTCTCGTCATAACCGTCACCTTTATATATTCTTGTAGAAGTTGGCCAACATGTACAAGAAGAAGTATCTCATCGAAAAATTAAAATTGCATACGTAGATAAAGAAATAATGAGAGGAGA